TTCTATTACAACTGACATACAATTATGTTAATGCGTATGAAAAAGAAAGAGGAAGGGCTTTTCACATACGAGCCTAGGCAAGCGGCTATTTAAGCTCTGGTTCACTTCCAGATAGAAAAGTTCTCTATATATTGGCTTGGCTGAAGAGCCACCTACCTATATTCCACATATTAAACAAAACCGAGCCATCGAATGGATCCCAGGTTTTTCATATTAGTTTAAATCTCAAGCTATCTCTGTAGCGTTAAGTAAAAAATAGGTCAATCCAGGGCCACTTTCCGGAGGAAGCATTTTTCTCATGCCAAAAAGAGTCCCTTAGCGGTAATTTGGACATAAAACTCACACTGTATCAAATGTTAATTACATCAAATGACAAATACAATTTTTTCGATTTTCGCAGAACCCCTCTTTATCGGAAATCGAAATCGGTTAAGCGGTTACAAAGCGGATGCATATGTCATTAGCACAATACAGCTTCCAGGTTTCGGGTCTATACAAACAGTGGCTTAGGCTATGAGTTGATCCGTCAGCTGCTGCTCTTTTACAGTTGGAACATTCAATAACTCTTTACTTGATTCTCTATTCTCGGTTTCAAAAGAAAAAGAAAAATATGAAACATTTTCAGTACAATTGGTGGCAACTCTGGCAATTCTGATTAGCATTTGATTAGTTAAGCTTGTAAGTATGGTATGAACAGAGCAAAGAACTGACGTGTATTCCAAAACAGTTGTGTAAATACAGAACATAAATAATAAACAGGAAAAATAAAATAAAAACATTATTAGTAATAAAGACATATTTCATCATTTCTAGTCATAATAAATGTTGTTATTGTATTTATTTTTAATTTTTAAATTTTGGGGTTTTACCCGTTTCCTTAGCAAAAAATAAAAAATAAAATGTGGGAGAACAATTATTATAATTAATATTTTCTTTAATGCAATAAAAGATTTTCCAAAAACAGTAAAAGAAATTTAAGTGATTAAAAAAGAAAAAAATATCTAATAATAATCAACCGCATTTTAAAGGAGGCGGACGTGAGTTTTCAATATTTTATGGAAAAATTAATTTCGTAAAATTGAAAAATAAATATTCAGATGTGGCAGAAAACTGATCGCGAATGAGTTTAGTTCAATATTTTTTTTTAACTTTTATTTTTTCCCAGGTTGCTCTTGTGGCTCCAGAAGAAATTAGGCTTTCTTACATATTTATGTCATATTTACTCTATAAACAGACAATGTCTTTCAAAGACGATGAGAAAACCTTTTTTACTACAAAAAAAACAAAAAAAATGCGTAGACATACGTTTTTTTCTTAATTACGTAAAAAAAAAAAAAAAAAAACAAATATATACAGAATAAAAACAAATATACACAGAGTCTAAATATGACACATTCAATGTTTTCGAAAAAAGTAAATATTTTATTGAAAATTTGTTTTAATGTAAATAATGGAACTTTAATATATAATATATTGTATTTACATATGTATATGTATGTATGTATATACTCGAACATACGCACGTTTTTAGGTACATATTTATAGTTGTATATCCAAAAATAGTTTACTCTTTAAACACATTTGTATATAACTTATTGATTCTTCAACTATTTAGAAAGCCTTCCAATTATTTGTTTTTGTACTGGCGTAGACACCCCTCACGTGGTTATAGCCGAGTAAACAAACAGCACGACATTCATGACTTCCTTTCGCTGTTTGACGCCAGTTGGAAATACCTAGCGTTGCCTTCGCTTTCTTATCTAGCCTGCAGAAAGCAGCACTCGTGGTTATTGAGGCCAATAATGTTTATATCATCGGCCTACACCAGCAGCTGTACACTCTTATAGAAGATTGTACCATCTCTGAAACCTCGTACTGTATCGAGCGGTTCGGAAAAGTCGTTCGCCATCCTGACGAGCTTTTAGTGTTCCTCAAGGTCAGTTAATATTCTCATATCAGTTTTACGGGTATACCAAATCATAACATAGCGGCTTAAACGGTCCTTTCCGTGTTGCCGCAGGCTGTTTTATAACTGACGAAGAGGTCTATTTACGAGTCCTTTTTGGCGGATATCTGATCAATGATGGATTTACCACGCCTAAGCCCCACTGATAAGGTCATATAGAACCTTATATACTATATTGAGGATGCTTATGCCACGATAATTGGCGCAGATTGGGAAATCGAGCCTCCCATCTCCTGATGTTTTGTTGTCAGTGTTGTACAGTGATGCAAATCAGCTATAGTTGAAAAACTTCGCTATGATGTGGATTGTGGCGGAGTGAATGTCTGTACTCGGCACCAAATAGACTTTCCGGCTTCTTTCGTTCTTGATCTGTCCATTGCATTTTCATTGGGGCGGACAAGATTTATTCCCTATTTTCGAAATAATATAAGGCGATTAGTCTAACCTCTTTGCGTCTAAATAGACTTGACAAGATTCTGGGCGCCTATTTTAGGGAGAAGCTGTCATCGGCCAACATATCATAGACATAAATGGAGCAGTTAATGATGTCTTCTATGAGGCAATAATGGAAAGTTCAGAAGCAGACAGTGCTGACCTATAGGATGATAAACGCGTACTGGAACTAAGCGTGATTGCTCACGGGAACGCCTAAAATAACTGCTCATGATGGCGTGCTATCAACACTCCTGTAGATATTCGTAGCCAATGAGTTTCTGGGTATATTCGAAGGGAAAGCTTCCAAAGTAATTGGATATGCGAGCGACATAGCTGTAGTTGTTACGGGGACTCCTAGGCACTATAGGCAACTTAATGGAAAGCGCTCTAACTAAACATCATACCAAGTACAAGCAAGTACTTGGCTTATGGTACGTGTAACATCTACAAGAGTCCCTGATAGAATGGCTATTGGAGTTACGCTCAGCTAGACTTCAGGCAACTCTTCAAGCTTTCACAGTGCTGCGGTATTTTCCAGACGGAATTCTTCGATATAGGTAAAGCTGCTGAGATCAATGCAGAAAACCATTTACAAAATACAAATCCATACGTATGTTCTATAGTCAGGCGGCTATTAACGCAATAATCTTACGTATCACTCGTATTGTCTCCGAAAATTTCCTTAGAAGCAGGCATGCAGTGCCCTGTCCACTGTCGGGTGTAAATGACTGCATATATACTGAAATAAGCTGATGAGATTGTCAAAAAGTGTCGAGTAAACGAGCCAGAAAATGGATTAAAAAATTCGATGAAAATTATCAATAATGAAATTTCTGAAAGAGCTGGATGTAAGAATATGATGGAAAGGATTACGGTTGGTTTTGCATGTTACCAACAGAAGGCAGTAGGGAGGAAGCCATGAGCGAGACTTTAGAACCCCTCAAGCATTGAAAGTTTATCCGCATAAACACGGCCTTTAGCGTAGCTCCACAAAAAAATTTCAACCGTGCCAAATCGAATGCTCTTGGTAGCCAAATGACATCGGCGAGAAATTCCTCTTTCAATAAAGTCATATGCGCTCATTTGTGTGGCATGAGCGTACTAAGCAAAATTTTTTTTTGCTTATTTAGATATCCCCCGAGTGAGAAATGTGTCTCGTCGTTAAAGTAAATTTTGTTCGAAAAGTGGCCGTGCACTGCTTGCTGTTCAAGCATCCAGTCGACGTTTGTACGACTGGCTGAATGTTCCATGGGCTTCAGTCCTTGTGTGATCTACACATGAAGGTGTAAGTCCAAGTGAAAAATATGCCGTAATGGGCCATAAGAAAATCCAAGCTTTAGAGAACGTCGAGAAATAGATATATGCAGTAACGATACTTGAGGCGAAACGAACAGAACAAGCAGAACAATGATGCGCAGACCTCACAATTTCTAAAACCGATCCAGTCATTTCAAACTTCCTTGTATTTTTACCAATTGCTTGAGTCGTTGGACCATAATCTCCTTTGGCAGCAGGAATGGTGGTCGTTTTGAGTCAACAACTTTTTTAGTAGGTTTTGACAATTTTAATTCGTTGTGCGATTGTCGAGCGATCCGTTTTCTTAAATGCTTGGCTTTTAACTAAAACAAAACGTGTTTGGTTCGACAGTTAAGTTTGACAGAGGTCAAAATACAACCTGTACACTGGAACCATTAAAGCTCTGAAATATTTTTTAATGCCAAAACAAAAACAATTTGCTATGGGGTTTCATTGCAGTTAATTTTCACCAATTGCTGGCTCTATCACTCTCGAAGCGTTCTTGAATTGATTAGAAAACAAAAAGCTCTGATTTCATTCTGGCATATTTTAACAAGAAACCCACTAGAAGAAACCGTACGTATTTATTGTTTCTTCATCGCATGAACTCAACGCTTTACCGTGAATGCCCTAACGAATTTGAAGACATCACTAAAAAATCCACTTTTAATAGCGAGATATGAAACTTAGAAAAATTTTCTGGGCTCGATGTGCATGTCTAAGCTCTTGTATGGAGCTCTTGAATGTACAATTTTTGTGTTTTGCCATAAGTTTCACCAGAAATACCGAAGAACTCAATTTAGCAAAGCATTTTTTTCCAAGAAAGCGTGCCCCCATTTGGTGGGGATTTTAATAAAAAATAAATTTCTAACTTTATGAGGTCCCCCAAGTGATATAAACTTTAGGTTTAATTTAAATTTTTACTTTCATATGTATGTATGCAATAAATAATATTTCTTTGAATTCACCAACATACGCACGTATATTTAACAGTACAACAAGAATTTAAATTCTATGTTAGATATGAAACTGCTGTATATCTTCTAAAAAGTAGAAATATTTTTTTTTGGCTTAATATTTTATTTATAAACAAAAGCCGTACTATATTTAAACACATTTGCAAATAAAAAAATTTTTTCACAAAAATTTCTTAAGTCAACAACTAACAAATTCGTTGGAATTGTATAAAAGGCGAAGTAGCAACTGATATCGCTTCATTAATAAGTTTACTTCACAAATAGTTGGGAAAAGTTGTTTATAACAAAAAATAAAAAAAAGGAAAAGAAACATAAAAACCTTAAAAATGCGCGCTTTCGTTATTTTCGCATTACTCGGCCTCATTGTCGCTGTGATAGCCGCACCAGCCGAAGAATCAGCAGCAGTTGCCGCATCAGCTGCAGACGAGTCAAACATTAAGAGTGCCGAGGCTGGTGGGGCTAGTGAAGATGATGAAGACGATGATTATTCCTACGAGGATGATGATGATGAAGGAAGCTATGAGGACGGCGAGAAATCGGGCGAGGAATCTAGTGAAGAGGAAGGCGACAATTCCAGTGAAGAGTCCGGCGAAGAGTCTAGCGAAGAGTCCGGTGAAGACAGCGGTAGTGAGCAAAGTGCTGAAGAATCTACAGAAGAACCAGAAGAGGAGGATTCTAGTGAGGAAAGTGTAGAAGCGGTCTAAATTGTTTCAGTTTAAATATTTTTTTTTTTTTTTGAATAAATTATCAGTTAATTATATTTTTTTGTTAATTACATAGAGAATGATAATAGTTTAATTTCACTATTCATTACAAGATTCCTTATTCAGGCGTCTGTATAACTTTTAGAGCTTTGCTAACATTTATCTACCTTTTTATCGTTGATAATAAAGATTTTAGCCTTGGCTTTACACATATATATTATACTAGACTTTCAAACCTCCTATGGCATTTCGGCGTCTTCTCTCTCACGTTTTCTTTCATTCTTTTTCGCCTAATTTCACTTAAGCAAGGCAGAGCCCACTTCAAATGTCATAAAAACGTAAAATTTTGTGATTAAAAGCTGGTTTTAGATTTCCTCTTTTAATGAATTTTCTGCTAACCATTGACCTCCTTTAAAGGGGTAAGGAATAAAGAGCAGGAATAAACTGGATAACTTTTAGGTAATTTTAGCCCTTTCAGTTACGTGCATATTTTGTTCGCTTTAAAATACTTATATATGCAAATAGATACATAATATGTACATATGCACAATATGTGACCATTTATTTTTAGACAACAAAACACATAAGGATTTTTGAATTTAATAAAATTGGAGTGTCGGTTTATTGAAGGACATTTTCTAAGGATCTTAAGGCAACATTTTGTGGGCGACTAAATTACAACAAGAAAAAGTTATGTATTCTACTAAGCATACATTTAAGTACTTATACTTGTATATACATTTAGTGATTCTTACACTCGTATATATATGTATGTGGAAGGATTAGTCCCGAAGGTATACTTGCTGTATGTTGAGCTTTGGCTGAAGGACAGTAGATAAATAAAATCGACAAAATACAGTAGGGAGGAAGCCATGAGCGAGACTTTAGAACCCCTCAAGCATTGAAAGTTTATCCGCATAAACACGGCCTTTAGCGTAGCTCCACAAAAAAATTTCAACCGTGCCAAATCGAATGCTCTTGGTAGCCAAATGACATCGGCGAGAAATTCCTCTTTCAATAAAGTCATATGCGCTCATTTGTGTGGCATGAGCGTACTAAGCAAAATTTTTTTTTGCTTATTTAGATATCCCCCGAGTGAGAAATGTGTCTCGTCGTTAAAGTAAATTTTGTTCGAAAAGTGGCCGTGCACTGCTTGCTGTTCAAGCATCCAGTCGACGTTTGTACGNTAAAAAAAAATAAAATAAAATAAAATAAAATGAAATAAAATAAAATAAAATAATATAAAATAAAATAAAATAAAATAAAATAAAATAAAATGAAAAAATCAATAAGAAAAATATCAAATAAAATGTAATAAAAAATAAAATAAATTTAAAAAAATTAAAAAAAAAATAAATTAAATTAAAATAACATATAGTTAAATAAAATAAAAATTGTAATTAAATCAAAATATAAAACATAAAATAAAGAGACAATAACAAGAAATAAAATTAAATTATTAATTGAGTAAATTAAAATAAAATTGAAAAAATTAAAATTATTAAATTAAATTAAATTAAATAAGAAAAAAAAAATTAAAAATGTGAATAAATTAAAATAAAGTGAAAAAAAGAAAAATAAAATAAAATAAAAGACGTAATACAAAACAGTCTGCGAAAAAATTTACTTGTAACCACTTCATTTATAACTCATTTTTACTTCCACATTTGCCCGAATATTGGTAATTTACAGAGAAATTCATAAATTTGACCTAAAATTCAATTTAGAAGTCTTAAAAGCTACACATTACACAAATTTCATCTCGCGACGAGTAATGAACTTTTCTCATTAAATTTTTTCCCTCATATTTCTTTGCAGCGCCAGCAAAAAACAACCAAGCTTTTTAGCAAGCACACATGAACAAGGCAACTGATCAAAACAACAACAATTGAAATAAAAGTGAAAAGGTGTCTCTTTTTAAATTGCTTATTTGGTCGCGTGCGTGTAAAAAGTGAATTTGAATATAAAATTGCCTCAAAGGACTTAAACGACTCGCTTCCACAAATACACATACACACACACACACACACCCATACACACACTTCGGTTCAGTCATAGTGTCTGTGGAATCACACTCGTTGTTGCTGCTGCTGCTGAGTTCCCTTTAGGTTATGGTTATGGTGAGTTCGGCGGTTTTAGGCGCCGCCACTGGCACTGGACTAGCTTTGGTGCTTGCGGTTACCATTGTTATGTACCGTTACTATTTGTTGCGTAAACGTGGCAAGGAATGGGACGAACTGGATCGTTGGGAGGAGACGCGCATTATGCGGAAGCTGCAATTGAAGGTAAGAGTTGTGGGTGAAGGCGAATAGTGTGTGTGTACATACATACACGTATGTATACATATGTATATTTAGTACGAAATTAACGAGTTTCATTAGCTGATGTATCAACTATTGCTGAATGAACGGGAAAACAAGTCAGCAAACAAGTGTGCGTGACACGTGTTATACAATACATACTCTGGTCGCCTGCTGGGCGTCGAATGAAACTGGAAATAGACTTACTTCGATGGGTATTTGTGATTGGAATTGGTATAGAAATTATTTTTGGTTAATGTCAGTGGGGAGAGGTGTATATTTGAACCCATTTTGAAGCTAAAGTGTTTTTTTTTTTAGTTATTGGCTTCTTACCAAATCCGCACTTTCTCGTCCCTACTACTTTATATATATATAATTAGCACTTTGTAACCGCTGAAGCGATTCTCGACCGAGCTCCTCCTCCAATTTGTGGTTTTGCGTCTTGATGTTTTGCCCAACAACTACTTTCAAGCGATTTAATTTCGACACTTTTCTTCGTGCTGAGAAAGAAAAATAGCCTCAAAAGGTGTCACGTGTCGCCGTAGGCCTTTGGGATTACCACACTCGACAAAGAGTTTAGTGATAATTAAAAAGTCTCAGCGTTTTTTGTTCTTTGTTGTTCTGAAACAAAATATTTATTTATTGAAAATTCATTTTAATCACGTAAAAACTGTCCTCCGAGTACATTTCTGACATTAAAAAGAGGTTCTTCTTGAAATTTTGTTTTGGCTTAACTTTTGTATTTTTCCTTTTTTTGGTTTTTCTTCAGGCCCCCCACCGAAATTGCAGGAGGAGCTCCGAATATCGCTTCTCCAGTTAATAAAAATAATTGAGAAGGAGACTGAGACATCTTGGCGTTATTCCGACCGGAGCAAAATCACATTAAATCAATCAAAGCTTCTAGTCTGCTAATATTTCTGGAGCCTTAAATGAAGAAATGCGTAGACAACGCTGTGCACAAAAGACTATCCACTACTATCGATCAAACAATTTGTCAACAGGTCTATTCCAGATGCAATTAAAAATTTGAGATTATTTACAATATTTCTATTATTGTTATTCTACTTTCTTCCTTCCTGAATGAATCGCTCATTGCTATTCTCATATTGCATTGACGTCAATTTAACTCTATGCACTGTGGACATCAGAGAGCTATTCTGAGGCATCGTCCAAATTTTATATTATGAGCTTTTTATTTCATGTCGGAAATACCCTCGGTGTGCTTGGCACTCCCTGCCGAGAGGTGACCGATATTTGAAAAATTATTTTTCTATAATTTTGGACGTTGGACGAACCAGGACTCGAACAGTGGTCTTTAGAATAGCAATATGAAATGCTAACTACTCGGCTATTAGTTCGCCAATAGATCTACAGCATATTAATGATTTTCGGCCGAGCTTCTTCCCAACTTGTTGTGTGTGTCTTGATGCTTCGAAGTCATAATGCGCCTGATATTCTCGGTGCATGACTTGAAATCAGCAAAAGTGTCAACTGAAACTGCCGATCTTTCACAATCGAGATTATTGTTGTAAATGCTGGTTTCAAAAACCTTAGGGCAACTATGGGCCACATATTTATTTCGTCACCAACCGGTTCTTTGCTGACTATCCACAGGACACTTGAGCTAGATCCGGGTGTAGCTATGTGAATGTAGGAACATACTTTAAACCTCTGCTATGAATTAGACTCAAAAAAAAAATATTGTTTTTCACTGATTGCCACAAAGAGATGCAAATCCACATATGTGCATACATACATACATACATATGCCTATTTACCTATTACGGTATGCAAATGTAAAAACACGTATGCATACACGTGCAAAGTGGATATGATTTAGTTCGTTTCAGACAAAAAATTAGCTGTCAATTTCAGAAAAATACTTTTCGTCAAACCAAATTCGTTATAAAATTATTTATAGATGTGCTCCAAGGAAAACATTCATGTTTGCGTAAAAAGAAGGTTTCTTGTGTTGCACGTGAGCTTCGAGTATGTGAGTGAACATGCAAATCAAATGCAGCAATAACACAAGTTTATGATGTTGCCGTTTCCCGGAAATTTTACCGATTTATTATTTAGCGTTATTTTTCTGATTTTCTTATGTTTAATGGTTTCTTTATTAAATCTCGTTGCCAGGCGACAATGGCATGGAAGCGGCGATTTCTTTGAAATTTTTAATAATTTTTTTTTTTTATTATTTAATTTATACACAATTATAGAGAAAAGAGCATATAAAAATTAACTGCCGAAGAGAAAATCTTTCTATAGCTTACTCCCCAGTGTATGTGGCAACAAGTTGGGTAATGAGCAGGCAACCCTGAAAAAATGTTGAGAATAAAACGTGCAAATTTTGGCCGTGCAATGATATCGTGACACGAAAGCGCAAGCAGTTATGTACATACATACATATCTTTGTGTTTATTTATCTATTTATGACCCTTCCGCACTCTTTTTCTAAATTTTGTTTAACCTTCAAGCGGGCGCACGGTTTCGAATGGAACGCGATAAAATATGTTTGAGTTATGTTATTTGAAAAAAAAGCAATTAATTTTTTGATTTTAAGGGGCACACATAGTGTGAAATTTCAAAAAAATCGATCTTTTTTCATATTTCGGTATTTATTCAAACCTTTAAAAACAACATATTAAAATTTCAAATCTATATCTCAAATAGTTTTCGAGTTATAGCAATTTAAAGAGC